GCACGGAAAGAGCCCAGTGTCTTTTGATGTATGATTGGATAAAGTTATGGTACATACATACAACGAAATATCACTTGGCCATAAAAGATACAATATTGTCACCTGTAACAACATGGGTAGATCATGGGAGTATTATACTAAGTGAAGTAAGCAGATGGAAAAGGACAAAAACCATATTATTTCACTCCTATGTGCGATATAAAACAAAGCAACAAACGAACAAAAAAGCACAAACCCACAGATAAGATGGGATGATGGTTACCAGAGGGGTGGTTGGGGGAGGGGGAGGACGGTGAGCACAGAGTAGAGCATACAGATGGCGTATTATAGCTGTACCCCTGAAATCTGTGTTAACCAATGTTACCCAATACATTTAAAAAACCCACTCAATACCGATAAAAGATGGAACTTACTAGGTGTGCCAAAGGCGGAAAATACCCAACCCCAGATGCCCACAGGTTTGCCGTGTTCCAATGTTAGCAAAAACGTACGTTTAAAATCACAGGAAATATTAGTGAACAGTATGTCCACAGGGCAAGGTGCCAAACATTAATATTTTAAGCTCCATACAAATGGAGCTTAAGTCTTTTGGTACCAGATTTCGATTCTTCACTTTTCTTTTTATTTCGTTTCATGAACCAATCTTTCATCTACCTGCCCCGCAACAGAAAAAAATAAAATCACTCGACGTCCACATATATTGCATGACAGTATTAGTACTGTGGGAGACTGGAGAGCAGAGGCTGGGTGTGTGGCCCCCAACTTTGCCGACACACTAGGATCACCTGGGGAAGTCTGTAGAGAATGCTGGTGCCCGAGTCCCACAACCAGTCGTTGCTGCTGAATCGGCACAAAGGAGACACTGGACGCTGGGTGCTGGAAGGCTCTCAGACGATTCTGTTGTGCAACATAACTTGGGAATCATTGGCCTAAGTTACCCTGGGGATAAAAAACATCTCTAAACCCTCGATGACTAATCAAAAGTTTATTTCTCATTCATGCTACTAGTCCAACATGAAGAGACCCACCTGCTCCGTGGGGCAGTGCTACCTCAAGCCCCGGCCGCAGGGTCCCCACGGCAGGGAGGCGTGAAGAATCACACCTGGACTCTCTCACGCTTGCTCAGTGACACACTGCGCTGGTCATTGCAGTGCGGAAGCAAGCCCCTCGCATTCCTTACTTCAAGAGGACACGGGAGTATTTCTCTCCATGCCCAGGAGATGGGAACGAGAAATATCAGAACGACATCTCCCATCTTTTTAACATGATTATGTTTTTAAATCCTCATCTGAGGATATGTTTCTTATCAATTCTGGAGACGGAGAGAGGGAGAAACATCGATGTGAGAAACGTTGATCGGCTGCCTCCTGCACGCATCCTGACCGGGAACCGAACCCACAGCTCAGGTGTGTGCCCTGATGGGAATCAGACCCTTTTGGTGTACGGGAGGATGTTCCAACTAACTGAGCCACCTGGCCAGGGCTGTCCCATCTTTCTGTCCTTTTTTTTTAATCTTCACCTGAGGACATTTTGCATTTATCTTCACATAGAAAGGGAGGAAGAGAGAGAGAAACATCGATGTGAGAGAGACACATCAACGGGCTGCCACCCACATGACCCCAACCGGGGTGGGTACGAACTGCAACCGAGGTCCATGGCCTTAGCGGGAACTAAACCCGGGACTCTCTGGTCCACAGGCTGACGCTCTAACCGCTGAGCCAAACTGGCCAGGGCCATCTTTTTTAAATCAATATATATTGAATGCTTTTAATGATTTCCCCCGGTGTAAAGACTGTTTTGGTCTCCCCAAGGTGATGGTATTCGGAGGCGGGGCACTGGGAGGTGATTGGCCAGGAGGGCAGAGCCCTAACGCATGGACTTGTGCCCTTTCAGAGAACTGAGCCCCTTGCCCGCACAGCACGATGGCCGATGGCCGGGAACCAGGTAGCAGGACCAGCAGACCCCAAAGCTGCAGGTGCTTTGATCTTGAACTCCGCAGCCTGCAGAACTGAGGGATGTCCCTGCTGTTTACAAGCCTCCCAGCCTACCTGTGGTCTTTTGTTCCGGGGGCCTGGACGAACGAAGACACCTCGCCACAGCTTTGGGCCCCAGGTTTCGGTTCTTCCGTTTTCTCATTTCATCCCTTGACCCAATCTTCCATCCAGGAGGAATCGGACATCACCGAACGGCGCGCTGGGTCTCCTTCGTACCCAGCCTGGATGAATCGATCGAGTAGCTTGAAAGCAAGCGTGGTCGTTCCTCCTGTGCCTGGTTTGACGTGCGGCGCTGGTAGCCCAGGCCGGGGAGGCACCTGCGGCGGGCGTGGCCCAGTCCCTCCTGCCTTCCAGGGCTAAGTCGGAAGGATGCAGCCGTTCCCTTACTCAGCTTTGCTGCGGCTTCAGTTACCTGTGGGCCGTTGCGTTCTGAAAACATTCCATGGAAAATTCCAGAAATACACACTCCACGTTTTAAACTGCACATTACGAGCAGCGTGATGACGTCAACGCCATCCTGCCTGGGACCTGAAGCCCCCGTCCAGTGTACCCACGCTGTGTGCCCCCCACCCGCTAGCCACCTAACAGCGGTCTCGGGTCAGACTGGTTATCAGAGGAAGAGCACGTTCACGTGATTACTGTGTGTTGTTATCACTGTTCTATCTTCTTGCTGTTGTTAGCCTCTCACTGTGCCTGGTCTACAAATCAAACTTCATCACAGGTAGGTCTGTGTAGGGGAAAACAGCAGCGCAGGGCTCGGTGCTGTCTGCAGTGTTAGGGGTCTGCTGGGGGTCTTGGAACATCCTCCTCCCCGGATAAGAGGGGACCCCTGTATTTAAACCTCATCGCATCCACTTTTTTATTTCTACCACCTAACTCTTACACCCAGAGAATAATATATTTAAAATAAAAACAACAAAAATGGGTAGTCAAAGAACATCTCAATGATTTTTATATTGATGTGTGCTCAGTAATTCTTTATAAAGAATTACATGATTAGCCCTGGCCAGTTTGGCTCAGCAGTTAAAGTGTCTGCCTGCGGACCAGAGTCCCGGGTTCGATTCCCACTAGGGGCACGTACCAAAAAAAAAAAACCCAAAAAACAAAAAACAATTACATGGATTAAATCATTACAGAAATAAAAAAAATTCTACCAAAAAAAAAAAAGGTCTGAGAATTTTGGTAGAAATAGTGACCCTGGAGAAATTAAAAAACATCTAAGACAAAAGTTTCAATGAACGACCTGAGATAAAGATTTTATAAATGATTAATACATTCACTACAAACTGTGCTATAAATGGGGATTAATTAAAACAACTGTCAGGCTTCCACGCCAAAAACACATGACACTGCTTCAGAATGCACTGTTTAATATTTTATTAGAAAACATTTTTTAAGTAATATACTGATAATCTGCCTGTGTCAGTGTCTATTATCAGAAATACATGAGGAAGTGTAGAAAGCAATCATATGTCCACGCGCACATACTCAGACACTCCACACACAAAACATTTGTTATTAATTCTAGATCCTCACCTGAGGATATTTTCCCACTTATCTCCAGACAGTGTGGGAGGGGGGGAGAGAGAGAAACATCGGTGTGAGAGAGACACATCGACTGTTTGCCTCCCGCACAACCCCGGCCAGAGGTGGGGGCTGAACAGCAACAGTGGTACGTGCCCTTGGCCAGAATCGAACCCCAGACTCTGTGGTCCATGGGCTGCTGCTCTAACCGCTGAAACAACCCGGCCAGGACCACACCAGACATTTAAAAACCCACTCCAATTCAACACATTAGGTCTTTACCCAGTCCTGACAGAAAATCAGGCACAGTAAACGCAGTCCTCGGTGCGCCTCTCCAGGCGTCTCTGGACTCCTCCGCTCTATCAGCTTGAATGTCAGCTCTGTAAAGTGAAAACCCGCGTCAATGCAACGGAATGGAAACAATTTCAGCCTGGCTGGTGTGGCTCAGTGGACTGAGCGTCACCCCATAGACAGAGGTCCTAGTTCGATTCCGGGTCAGGGCACGTGCCCGGGTTGCGGGCTCGACCCCCAGTGGGGGTGTGCAGGAGGCAGCCAGTTGGTGTTTCTCTCTCATCGATGTTTCTATTTCTCTCTCTAATAAAAAAACAAAAACAAAAAAACAATAAAAATATATTTAAAAAATGAAAATAACTCATTGTAATAGACTCTAAAACCAAATATGAATTAATTTTGATAGTTAAATGTCTTGAATTATCATATCATTGTTTCATATGAAACTACAACCAAAACAATCACAGTTCACATCTGAAAAGTACCTCATCCTCAGATCACCAGGTTTATTATTTAAAATATCAAAATAAAATATTTTACTATTTTTTATTTTTAAGTCTATATTTACTTTAGAACTAAGAAAAACTTTACTTCAAATAATACAAATAATATAAACAATTTAACACGTTTACTACAACCTGATCTTTAAGGATTTAAAGTTTTGATAATCCAGAACTATTTTAGGATCAAAAGAGCTGTATTATATATTCAAAGGCAATTTTCCCAAACGTTCCTTCTAAATTTAATAAAGGACTTGAGTGAGAAACTTATAACAAAGCCACAAGAGATTAAATTTAAAGTATCTTTATTCATTTCTATGGTGAACAGTCTCCCCCTAAAAAACAGTAACATTTGTCTTTCAATCTGTCAAGCTGAGCTAGAAAAGTCACCGTCTCTTCTTTACATCACATGTCAACATGATACAGGGCGCAGGACGCAGAGACCAGTGTTCGCAGGCGTCGGGAAGCGCTGCGCGCGCAGCATCTCGGGAGGCCGGCGAGAGGGGCGGCCGCGCGGCAGCGAGCACTCTGCGCGCCGATGAGCGCAGCAGCGATGGGCCCCGTTCCGGGAAGATCAGTGTTCGCAGGCGTCAGGAAGCGCTGCGCGCGCAGCATCTCGGGAGGCCGGCGAGAGGGGCGGCGGGGCGGCAGCGAGCACTCTGCGCGCCGATGAACGCAGCAGCGATGGGCCCCGTTCCGGGAAGCACCTTGCTGCCTGTGGCCCTTTAAACGCCCAATTCCAAATCTCCCAGCTCCCGGAGGAGGCCTTTCTCCTTCTGAATTTTCTCCAACTAGAAAAGTTTAGAACAATAAAGTTATTCAATAGGAAAGAAAATAATTCTTAGCTCTACAGCCGAAACAAAGAAGAAAATACTCCGAGTGTCCCTGACTATCAGAGCCACTGGTAAACACAGGTGTGGGGGCGCAGCCCAGAAACCGCCTCCCGGGGTGTGTGTGGACGGGCAAAGGACAGCTGTCTCGCTGCACCCCCAGGCAGGGCGCAAGCAGGCAGCGCCCCCTGAGGCACAGCCAGGAAGAGACTCCGTATGTCTAACGTGTGCTCATTTTCAGCAGCGACAGCACTGATACAGCGCCTGGAAAGGTGACTTCCGGACTCACCGTGCCTCCCTCTGTCCTTCCCCGTGCAGGAGTGAAAACACTGAAAACTCTATGGCAGCCCAGCCACTGTGGCTCAGTGGTTGAGCGTCGACTCTGCACCAAGAGGTCGCCGTTCGATTCCCGGTCAGGGCACATGCCCAGGTTGTGGGCGCAATCCCCAGTGGGGGGCGTGCAGGAGGCGGCCTATCCATGTTCTCTCTCATCGATGTTTCTTCCTCTCTCTCTCCCTCTCCCTTCCTCTCTCTAAAATCAATAAAGAAAAAAAAAAAAATGGCATATTATTTCCAAAAGATATTTTTAAAATCTCTGTGCTCTTTGACCCAATTAAACAACTGCTTGTAATAAAAGGGGGAGGTGCCAGCTGGTGTGGCTCAGTGGGCTGAGCGCCGTCCCACACCCCAAGAGGGTACCGGTTCAATTCCCGGTCAGGGCACACGCCGGGGGTGCTGCCTGGTCCATGTCTCTCTCATCAGCGCCCCCTCCTCCCCCCGAATCAGTGAAAGCACATCAGGGGGAGTCACGACTGCGAACCAAATAGAAGCGCAGAGACCTGGTTCTTCTCCAGCTGCTTCCCGGCGGCGGCCTGCTCCTTCAGCTGCTCGATCGCCTTCAGCTTCTGCAGACACCGGGAGGGGGGTCGGTCACCTCGGGACGCAGCGCCCTAGGCCCCGGCCCTCAGCCACACGGCCGGGAGACCCGAACGAGGGTCAGTTCTCTCACACTTGTGTCAAGAACGGTCCTAAAATGCTAAGGTAAACTATTTTTAAAATTAAACGTGGGGGGATGTAGAGTGCAGCACAGGGAACGTCATCGACAACACCTGACACTGTGTGGTCCGGTGGGCGCTGGACTTCCTGGGGGTCGCTCTGTAAGTCATACAAATGGCTAATCACTACACACCTGAATACTGAATGTAAACTTTAACTGAAAGAATCAGAAATAGATAAATTTTAAAAAATGCTCCAGCTCTGGAGAAAAAAAAGAAAAGAAAAAGAATCCAGGATTTGGTCAGATATTTTCCCAACTTTTAATTACTGCTGTATATGCACATGTATGTAACTATCTCACCAACCTCACGTTTCTCTCAGCACCGCCCCGGCCTGCACCTGTCGCTGGCTCAGACACCAGGGAGCGGGCGGGGCTCTGGGCCGGGTGTCACCGCCCCGGCCTGCACCTGTCGCTGGCTCAGACACCAGGGAGCGGGCAGGGCTCTGGGCCTGGTGTCACCGCCCCGGCCTGCACCTGTCGCTGGCTCAGACACCAGGGAGCGGGCAGGGCTCTGGGCCTGGTGTCACCGCCCCGGCCTGCACCTGTCGCTGGCTCAGACACCAGGGAGCGGGCGGGGCTCTGGGCCGGGTGTCACCTCACAGCCGGCTGCGATCTGACGAGTCAACTGCTATTTCCTCACCTTTAAAATCGGGATACAGGCCTGTTCCTGCCTGTCGCACGTGTCTAACAGAACACCAGGCGTAAAAGTGTTCAGCATACTTCTGTACGGATGGACATCACTTCTCATTACTCGGAGATCGAGAACAAACAGACTCACAGGCCTTGGACAGCACGGAGCCGGGCGGCACATGCACAGCGGCAGAGCAACAGTGAGCCCGGCGCGGACGCCTGCCCCCCGGGTCTGCTCGAGTATCGCTCTCCATGCAAGTCTCACGCGCTTCCTCCAACAGACACATCTGCGTGCGCCCGCTCTCACCTTCCTCAGGTTCTTGATTTTCTTGTCCACCTCAGGGTCCCCGGAAGTGGGCGGAGACACGGTGCCCCGCGCCGGGCTCTGCGGGGGGGCGGGGGCCAGATCCACGCTCCTGTCACTTCTTGCTTCCTGCAGGAAACAGTTTCAAAGTTCAGTTTTCTAAAGTGAAGACACTGAAGTGTTTCAACCAGAACAGCCTTGGTGTATAAAATGCAGAAACCGAAATGTGATTTTATCTTTTATGCTACATGTTATATAAAGAGAGGATCTGAACTGAAAGTCTCCTAAAGCATGTGACATTGTCCCATGATAAATACAACGCAGCCTAAAGAAAGTCTCACAGTATAATGAGACACCCAAAAGGGTCTCACTAGATTTGTCAAGGGAACAGTTTGCAAGGTCTAGAAATTTTTTAATCCTCACGTGAGGATATTTTTCTATTTATCATCAGATAGAGTGGGAAGGAGAGAGAGAGAGAGAAACATCGATGTGCGAGGAACACATCAACTGGCTGCCTCCCATAGGACCTGACCAGGGCCGGGATAAACCACAACCCAGACACGTGCCCCTGACGGAAATTGAACCCGAGACTCATGGGTCCGCAGGCCGACACTCTAACCGCTGAGCCACACCGGCCAGGGCTGCTAGAGCTAGAATTTAAAGTAACATAACAAAAATTAAAAGACTATATTATGTTAGAATATAATAAAAGAACAAATGAAAAGAAATGGAACGACCTTAGCAGTCATCCAGGAGGTTTCTGAATCAGCCAACAAGCACTGAAAATGCTGTATTTCGGGAGGTCTGGAAGAGGGAGAGGGCCGTTCTGATCAAGGGATCTGACATCTACTCCTGTCATAGCTCCGAAACTAATGAGCGAGCATGACCAGGTGCACGTAAAGAAGGACGCACAGGACGAGTCCCACAGAGATTCGCGTGTGATCAGACCTGCGACAGAGTGCCACGGGAAACATGTCCCACGTGGGCGCCATTCTGCTGCCGACCGTGGACGGGGACCAAAGCAGACCCCAGCCCAGTCGGACAGGGGTCCCTTCGAAGTCAGAAGACAAGCAGGTTGGAGACTAGCGGAAGGGTTAGGTAAGTGGCAGATGTAATGCAGAGGTGCCCAGGGCACGGACGCCCCCAAAGAGGCTGCCTCCCCCGCGGCCGGGTGGCTCAGCTCGGGTTGCTGTGGGGCCCGGGCCACAGGCCACAGGCCACACCTGTCCTCGCCAAGCCCAGGAGGCGGCACCTGCCCTGGAGTCCGAAGCTTCCGTGGTGCAGTTTCGTCTCCATGGATCAGACCTCCGCCGACCTTTCCAGCCTCACCCTCCTCACCAAGAACCACTGATTCTGAGCCGCCTTCCCTTCCCCTCAAGGGCGGTGAACTCGTTTCCAAGCCTTCGACTGTGCCTGTGCCAAGAGCACTGCAGGAGACCTGGCTGAACCTACGTGTCCCTGAGGCCTTTCCCCCAATTTTCTCCAACTCCCAGAGACCGGACCAGCCACACAGCAGGTGGTCGGCGGCCCGTGTGCGCCACCCGCCGTCAGACTGCACCGAGGTCTCCCTGTCCACCGCGGGCTCGTGCCCTCAGCACACACCTGCTCCCTGCACGCGCTGAGCAAGTGGGGGAGGAGAGGGATGGCCTTCCTTCTGGTTCAGACGACACGCACATCGTGACAAAAGGGGGACAGCGTTATTTAAGTCTTTATTGCCCTCGAGGTAGGCCTTCTACCTCCTCCTCATAGAGTTCCCAGTGGGACACACAGAACCCCAAGAATCCAGAACCTTTCTCAGAGTTCAGGGCAGAATCCCCCGAGTCCCCAAAGCATCCCAGGGGGAACATGGGACACTCCCAGATTTCCAAAACTAAAAACGCGTGCCTGAGAACCTGGAGACTGCACAACAGAGTCACCTGTTCTTTTCAAGACACGTCACTGCACTTTTGGTGCCCTCCAGCGCAGCAGCTGCCTTCCGTGGGAAACACAGGACTGAGCGCCACAGTGTGCCGAGGACACCGTTCAGTTCTTCTCTTAAGGAGATGAGTGGACAATGAGACAACAGCGCCCTGGCCGGTTTGGCTGAGCGGTTAGAGCATCAGCCAACGGACCAGAGAGTTCCAGGTTCAGTTCCTGCTAAGAGCATGTACCTTGGTTGTAGTTTGTCCCTGGCCCCGGTTGGGGTCGTGTGGGTGGAAGCCACTTGATGTGTCCCTCTCACATTGATGTTTCTCTCTCTTCCTTCCTCCCACTCTCCCTCCCGCTCTATCTGAAGATGAATGCAAAAAAAGTGTCCTCAGGTGAGGATAAAAAAAGAGAAGAGAGATACTCTGCCTATCAAAATTCACTTTCAACATCAGATTTAAAAATTTAAAGTTTAGTTGTTTGTAATGAGTTGAGAATATTAATTTTTCTACTAAGAGAGGTGGATGTTATAAATGTAAGACTATTATAATAGTAAAACATTAATTTAATTTTCTATCCTATTTTAAATACCAAGAAGAAGTTAAAATGTCTGCATGATTGTAATTTAATTGCGGCCATTCTCTGGAAAGGATACGTATATGGCAAAACTACACTTTTAGTTTCAATTCTGTTGGGTACAGTGATAAGCTTATAAAACCATCACCAGTTTATAAAAGCACTTGGTTAGATTATATGCACCCGACTCTTTTATCTCTGGTTCCTTAATTCAGACCAGGACGAACAAGGTGTGGTCAAGCTGACACTGCCATGGACCATTACTCTGCTCTATCACACAGCCATAACTTACTAACTCCAGCCAGACAAAGACACACCCTGAGAGGGTTATGTTGCCAGGAGAAAGCAAATTTTACCCCCACAGGGAAAACAGGCAAAGGGCAACTCCCCGAGTGCTGGGTCAGCGGTACTGCCTCTGCACGGAGCACCCCTGGGCGATGCAGTCTCTGTGGGGTGGGCGGGGGTCTGGTCTGCAGGTACTGTGTCTCACACTGATGGGGACCTGTCTGTAGTTACTGTGTCTCACACTGATGGGGACCTGGTCTGTAGTTACTGTGTCTCACACTGTTGGGACCTGGTCTGTAGTTACTGTGTCTCACACTGATGGGGACCTGTCTGTAGTTACTGTGTCTCACACTGATGGGGACCTGGTCTGTAGTTACTGTGTCTCACACTGATGGGGACCTGTCTGTAGTTACTGTGTCTCACACTGATGGGGACCTGGTCTGTAGTTACTGTGTCTCACACTGATGGGGACCTGGTCTGTAGGTACTGTGTCTCACACTGATGGGGACCTGTCTGTAGGTACTATGTCTCACACTGATGGGGACCTGGTCTGTAGTTACTGTGTCTCACACTGATGGGGACCTGGTCTGTAGTTACTGTGTCTCACACTGATGGGGACCTGGTCTGTAGTTACTGTGTCTCACACTGATGGGGACCTGGTCTGTAGTTACTGTGTCTCACACTGATGGGGACCTGTCTGTAGTTACTGTGTCTCACACTGATGGGGACCTGGTCTGTAGGTACAATGTCTCACACTGATGGGGACCTGGTCTGTAGTTACTGTGTCTCACACTGATGGGGACCTGGTCTGTAGTTACTGTGTCTCACACTGATGGGGACCTGGTCTGTAGTTACTGTGTCTCACACTGATGGGGACCTGGTCTGTACTTACTGTGTCTCACACTGATGGGACCTGGTCTGTAGGTACTGTGTCTCACACTGATGGGGACCTGGTCTGTAGGTACTGTGTCTCACACTGATGGGGACCTGGTCTGTAGTTACTGTGTCTCACACTGATGGGGACCTGGTCTGTAGTTACTGTGTCTCACACTGATGGGGACCTGGTCTGTAGTTACTGTGTCTCACACTGATGGGGACCTGGTCTGTAGTTACTGTGTCTCACACTGATGGGGACCTGGTCTGTAGTTACTGTGTCTCACACTGATGGGGACCTGGTCTGTAGGTACTGTGTCTCACACTGATGGGGACCTGTCTGTAGTTACTGTGTCTCACACTGATGGGGACCTGGTCTGTAGGTACAATGTCTCACACTGATGGGGACCTGGTCTGTAGTTACTGTGTCTCACACTGATGGGGACCTGGTCTGTAGTTACTGTGTCTCACACTGATGGGGACCTGTCTGTAGTTACTGTGTCTCACACTGATGGGGACCTGGTCTGTAGGTACAATGTCTCACACTGATGGGGACCTGGTCTGTAGTTACTGTGTCTCACACTGATGGGGACCTGGTCTGTAGGTACTGTGTCTCACACTGATGGGGACCTGGTCTGTAGGTACTGTGTCTCACACTGATGGGGACCTGGTCTGTAGGTACTGTGTCTCACACTGATGGGGACCTGTCTGTAGTTACTGTGTCTCACACTGATGGGGACCTGGTCTGTAGGTACCGTGTCTCACACTGATGGGACCTGTCTGTAGTTACTGTGTCTCACACTGATGGGGACCTGTCTGTAGTTACTGTGTCTCACACTGATGGGGACCTGGTCTGTAGGTACTATGTCTCACACTGATGGGGACCTGGTCTGTAGTTACTGTGTCTCACACTGATGGGGACCTGGTCTGTAGGTACTGTGTCTCACACTGATGGGGACCTGTCTGTAGTTACTGTGTCTCACACTGATGGGGACCTGGTCTGTAGGTACTGTGTCTCACACTGATGGGGACCTGGTCTGTAGGTACTGTGTCTCACACTGATGGGGACCTGGTCTGTAGTTACTGTGTCTCACACTGATGGGGACCTGTCTGTAGTTACTGTGTCTCACACTGATGGGGACCTGGTCTGTAGGTACTGTGTCTCACACTGATGGGGACCTGTCTGTAGTTACTGTGTCTCACACTGATGGGGACCTGTCTGTAGTTACTGTGTCTCACACTGATGGGGACCTGGTCTGTAGTTACTATGTCTCACACTGATGGGGACCTGGTCTGTAGGTACCGTGTCTCACACTGATGGGGACCTGTCTGTAGTTACTGTGTCTCACACTGATGGGGACCTGGTCTGTAGTTACTGTGTCTCACACTGATGGGGACCTGGTCTGTAGTTACTGTGTCTCACACTGATGGGGACCTGGTCTGTAGTTACTATGTGTCACACTGATGGCACTGCTAGTTTTTTAAGAAAAGCCACCAGGGCTCTCTTTAAGTCCAATTATTTTAATATTGACTTTCAGAAGTAAAAGGTACTGATTCTATGACCCCTGACACAAATTTTATCAGAGAAACACACAAAACTAATATTTTATTACAAAGGAACCACAGCACAGTGCCAGCAATAGTCACACTGAAAATACCTATGAAAGGAAGAAACACAGTTTATAGCAGAGGATTCTAAGGTGGGTGGGTTTCAGAAGGGCCCTTCAATCTCCATTAGAAAGGCTCCTGCCGGTGCTATGGAAACCACGGAGGTTCTTCAAGAAATTAAAAACCGAAGAATCACGTGACCCCGCAACCCCACTGTGGGTACATACCCAGAGGGAACAAAATCACCATCTCAGAGACACCTGTGCCCCATGTTCACGCAGCATTATGCGGCACAGCCCAGGATGAGAACCAGGGTAAGTGACAGATTTACACATATATTTTTTTTTTTATCCTCACCCGAGGACATTTTCCCTTTTTTTTTTTTGTTTGTTTGTTCGTTTGTTCAGATAGAGGGGGAGTGGGAGAGAAGAAAGAGAGAAACATCAACGTGAAAGGGACACATCAAATGGCTGCCACCCGCACGACCCAACCAGGGCCGGGGACAAACTGCAACCGAGGCACAGGCCCTTAGCGGGAACCGAACCCGGGTCTCTCCAGACCGCAGGCCGACGCTCTAACCGCTGAACCAAACTGGCCAGGGCTACACATATTTTTTTAAAAGGAAAATACTGCTGCCCTGGCTGGTTTGGCTCACCGGTTACAGCATTGGCCCGCGGACCAATGAGTCGTGGGTTCGATTCCGGTCAAGGGCACGTACCTGTGATTTGTCCCCGGCCCTGGCTGGGGTTGTGTGGGAGGCAGCCACTCAATGTGTACTTTTCACATCAATGTTTCTCTCTCTCTCTCTCTCTCTCTCTCTCTCTCTCTCCCTCTCCCTCTCCCTCCCTCCCACTCCATCTGAACAAAAATGGAAAAATGTCCTCAGGTGAGGATAAAAAAGAAAAAAGAAATTTCTGGATGAAATCCATTAACTACAGAAGAGCACACTGATTTATTAAAGCCCAGGTTTTAGCAAATATGGTTTTTTTTTTTTTTTATCCTCACCCGAGGATATTTTTCCATTTTTTGTACAGATAGAGTGGGAGGGAGAGAGAGGAAGGGGAGAGAGAGAGAAACATCGACGTGAAGGGACACATCGAGTGGCTACCACCCGCACGACCAACCAGGGCCGGGGACAAACTGCAACCGAAGTACGTGCCCTTAGCGGGAACCGAACCCAGGTCTCTCTGTACCGCAGGCCGACGCTCTAACCGCTGAGCCAAACTGGCCAGGGCAGCAAATATGGTTTAATAATTCCATTCTATACCTTCAAACAGCTAACTGCCTACCGAAACACACAAGAAACCTAAAACTGTCAAATAAATTTTTTTTCAAGCATCACCAGCAAGACTGCATTGTTTGAATCAATGTCAAGCACCCAGTCACCGTGACTTCACTAACCACAGTCCCAGCCCAGCAGGTGTCACTGTGAGCCACACAGGACTGCAACTTGTCAACTGTTACACTGGTGTGGTTTTGCAACTACAAAATCAGATAAAAATGATGTTAGCAGTGTTATTGTTGGGTACTCCTGGCATTTAGGTTCGCAGCTGAACGATGTCCCAGCGTGACGTGACACGGGTGACAGGGCGCGTCACCGCCGTGCACTTTCGGGCTCTCCTCACAACACGTTTCAATAAAGCAAACGAGACCCCACAAGGCTCGGCCAGCACGGCCCACAGCGAGCAGCAGCCCACACGATCCCCCAGGGCTGGGTTTGAGGTCGGCTCAGTTCCCTTAGTCTCTATTATATACTGAGAATACTTAAGCATTCATAGCCGTACACAAAAGAAAGACTTTCTGACTAAGTCTAACTCCAACTTCATTTTTTTTTTTGTCCTCACCCGAGGACATTTTTAGATTCATCTTCAGATAGAGTGGGAGGGAGAGAGGGAGGAAGAGAGACAGAGAAACATCGACATGAGAGAGATACATCGAGTGGTTGCCACCCGCACGACCCCAACCGGGGCCGGGGACAAACTGCAACCGAGGTCCGTGCCCTTAGCGGGAACCGAACCCGGGTCTCTCCGGTCCGCAGCCGACACTCTAACCGCTGAGCCAAACCGGCCAGGGCTCCAACTTCATTTGGCAACATACAGTCAAGTCTTCAGGACAACAAAACTTTAAGGCTTCAAACAAGCTGAACAGATTTTGTCTGAGAGATTCATTTCCCGAATACCTGCTTTGCCGCTCTCTTAGCTTCATGTTTTCTTTGGTTTTTAAGGGCTGTTTTTGATAACGGCTTATCATTTCCTGGCTGCGGTTTCATATTCTGAGGTGGCTCTTCCTCATGCTATGGAAAATGTAAAATACACGACTGTGAGATAGAGTCCATGCTTTTAAACACAGTACAACAAATCACACAATTTTGCTAGTATGGGATAAACTTACTTTATCAAACTTAAGATTACCAATAAAGAATATTTCAAAACTCGGAGTGTAGCAGACACTCTCTAACTGTCGGGGAGATTTAATGAGGCTCTTCCTATGAGTTGGTAGATATATCTTACATAAGACCTGGCAAAGTTCACTTCAATTTTGTTTAAACAACAGAATTTATCTATTCATTTATTTATTTAAAAAAATTTTTTTTAATCCTTACCTGAGGATATTTTTCCATTTATCTCTAGGAGTGGGAGGGGTAGAGAGAGAGACAGACAGACAGACATTGATGCGAGAGAGACACATTGATCGGCTGCCTCCCACATGTGCCCCCACCAGGGATCACACCCATAATCTGGGTCCAAACCCACGAGCTGGTCTGTGCCCTGGCCAGGGACCAAACCCGCCGCCTTTTGGTGCACAGCATGATGCTCCGACCACCTGAGCCACACTGGCCAGGGCTGGAACTGTTTTTTTTTTTTTAGATACTACTATTGACACATGATTCTTACGAAATTAAATTAGATACCAAAAATAGCCTATTCTGGAATCTTTTTGGATCTGACTACTACCAATAGAAACCCAGTTTCTTCATTTCTTTTCTTTGCACTAAGAATTATTTGCTAGCCCTGGCCGGTTTGGCTCAGCGGTTAGAGCATCAGCCTGCAGTCCAGAGAGTCCCGGGTTCGGTCCCCACTAAGGGCACGTACCTCAGTTGCAGTTTGTCCCCAGCCAAACTGTTGGGGTTGTATGGGTGGCAACTAGTCGATGTTTCTCTCTCTCTCTTCCTCCCTTTCTCCCTCCCACCCTATCTGAAGATAAATGCAAAAATGTCCTCGGGTGAGGATTAAAAAAAAAAGAATTATTTGCTTGATCTCTACTTATAAAATCAGATTAGAAGATTAAAAATAAAAGCAAATAGAAAAACTAAAACAGACATCAAGAACATAGATCAAGCCCTGGCTGGTTTGGCTCAGCGGTTAGAGTGTCGGCCTGCGGTCCAGAGAGACTCGGGTTTGGTTCCCGCTAAGAGCACATACCTTGGTTGCAGTTTGTCCCCGGCCCTGGTTGGGTCATACGGGTGGCAGCCACTTGATGTGTCCCTTTCACATTGATGTTCTCTCTCTCTCCCTCCCACTCTGAACAAAAAATGAAAAAATGTCCTCGGGTGAGGATAAAAAAAAAAAGAACATAGATCAAATAGGAAAGAATAAGTAACTGCATAATAATAAACCCAGGATTAACATAATGAAGTGGCCTACAAAGACTAAGTAACTGTCAGAAGATAGGATCAAGGAGCATCTGATGTGGAAAACGGGACCATAGTAAACAACACTGTACTGTGTAACTGAAACTTGCTGAGAGAGGAGAATGGACATTTCTTACCCAAAACAAAAACTTCATCTACCAGTGACTTCATCGCAATTACCTTCGATTTAACTGTCTCTCGGGCGCTGTCGTACTTGGCACACAAAAGGGACGATGCCCATGAAGGTTCGTGAGCACCAGATCTCAGGTCTGTGTGCATCTCGTAAGTGCTACGAGGAAACGGGCTCAAACATGCAGGACAGAGTCACTAGGAAACGACAGTGACTTTGTCTTCACAGCCATTAGCTGCTTCAGATCATGGAAGTTCTGTGGGTGCACATATCCTGCTCGAAGCTACTGATACAGACCGGGGCCAAGCAGGTTTACAGTTGTGAGCAGGAGAAACAGTTTACTCCGGCCTTGTGAGTATTAACTGTATCGGTTTCCATACAAACATCCGTGCACCTACGTTGGCCCCACCCTGCATATAAAAGCCCACATTTGTAGAACAGAAAACTCCGAGGGCAAGTCTCTGCCACTTCTGTTTTTGTTTCCACTCTGGGCAGTGTGAGTGGAGATGTACTAAGATGTGCTGAACGTTTGTTTTACACATGAAAATCTTCTACAGCACCTTGCTTTGGCAGAGTTTGTACTCACGAGAACTTCAAAAAATGGCAAAGCAACTAAAAATGACGCAAGAAGAACGAGTTATGAACCTTCCCCGTGGTGAGCACCATGCCGCCGCTGACAGATGTCATTTCAGACAAGCAAACAGCATCCACACAGCTCCTCGCACCGGAGCTTTTCGGATTCAGTGCTACTGCTCATTGTTCACAATTTCATCCTGACTAGTGAGGTGTGCTCTTCGCCAGCCGCAGTGGCTCAGCTGGTCGAATGGCTGGGGTTTGATTCCCTGTCAGGGCACGTAGAGAAGGCAACCGACTGATGTTTCTCTCTCACACTGATGTCTCTCTCCCTTCTTCTAAGCATGTCCTTGGGTGAGGATTAAACATAAATAAATAAAAATAAATACAATAAAATGTGTTTCTTCAGTTATATCAATTACTATGTGACTGTTTTGATAAACACATAATAAAAGTGAAGGGTTGTTTTTTTTTTCTGAAAGCCAAAAAATACTTCCTTAAGTATAATTTATATATACATTTTTGCTTATAAAAAAAGTAATTTTCTTCTTCAATGGGAAAAATCCCAATAGTTTTTTTTCCTTCTGTCATGGAACCCCCTTCCTTTGTGAAGTTATTGACTACAAAATCTTTGTTTCTAGTAATTTCTTGACAGTATTTTCTTTGCTATTTACCTAATTTCTGGAATTAGATATGCACAAAAATTTCTCACTAGTGGTTACCTTGATTAAAATGATTTGTTAAGATCACATAATTACAATACCACATACAAAAGTGAAAACTTAGTGAAATCTTAAATGTTAAAACATTTTGGTTTTAAGAAGTTCTTACTTAGTTTTACCACCATTTTCAAACTATAATCTTTCTACATTAATTTCTCTACCTTCTCCCACCAAAACAAACTAGTTTTATGAATGAGAATATAAATATACACCAATTCAGAATTTCTTCCTCTTGTGCTCTCTTAACCAGATTTAGAAAGCAGGATAGGTTGAGGTTACTCCTGTTTTTATCGTAGATAAGATAAATTTCAATATACATGGGACAAATCTAAAGACTACAATATACTTTCCTTTTTGATCTAATAAAAATATCAGTAGGGCTTAATTTGTTACATAAGTTTTTATATATATTTACTAAATAACTTAATACAACAAAGGTATTTCAAAAGAGCATTTCAAGAAATTACAGCCCGCTGCTACACGTCAGAAGGAAGGTGTCTTGTTTCTGAGACGGTCAGGAGGCACACGGAGGCACGGGAGTATTTATCCTTTGAAGAAGTATTCACTTCCCTGAGTGCCCAGTACCTGAGCAACTCTGTATCTCTGTTTACCTGAACAGTCCCAGGATGCCCAGTGTATTGTCATCTTTTAAATAAACAACAGAAAGACTTACAGAGCTACTTTATTCCTTAACGTCATCCCAGAAACTCAGGCCATTATAACGCTTCCTCCTGAGCTCTGAAACACCAACACTTTAAAGTAGACAAGCATCTGACCGATACTCTGGTCATAACTTGACATTTTGTTTGACCAACAGTGTTTCAAAAGCGGAGAAATTTTACATCAACACCCAGACTTGCTCCGTCTTGAAAAATCACTTTGGCAAACCGGGCCTAACATCCCTGTGGAAACATGGGCGGCTGCTGCGCGTTGCTCTGCCGTTCAGGTGGCCGCCTGTCCCACTCACCCCTGCCTGACATCGCCAGCCTGACTTGACAGGCCTTTGAATTTGACCCATGGCCTATAGAGTATGTCCTCCTGCTATCTTTCCAGACGGGAAATGCGCATTGTTTCAAATTAACTACTTTGTCAACTTAAAGTGAGCTGTTCACTATTTTCAGCAACAGTGTCTCCCCTAGAGTGTATGTTCTAATCAGGTACTAAGTAACACAAGAAAATGCCCCTGGGGCGGGGGTCTAGAGACCTCCACACACTGAAAGCCTTCTCCTGCCACAGCAGTAACACTCACCAGCCTGGAGCTGGTGGGCGGCTTGTTTCTCAGGGCAGGGGGCCGGTACGCGACTGCAGCTTCAGGCTCTCCCCTGGGCGGAGCTCGGTGAGTCACTGCTTTGGCCGGAAACACGCCATCTGGAAACGGCTGCCAAGAGACCTGCCACAACTCGGCCTCCGAGGGCACATCACACCTGTGCAAGACCGAGCCGCTGTAGTGCCACACCTTGTACCCGTTGTTCACACGCAGCCTGGGAGCGCACGTGGCGGTCAGGATGTGCTCCCCGTCTGGGCACCAAGCGAAATAAGTGGAATCAGGGGCCACTGGTTTAGAAATGAGTTTGTAGTTTTTAACATCCCACACTTCCATCTGTCCCCTCAGGTTCCCAAATCCAGCGAGGACCAGGATGTGCCCGTGAGGGCTATAGTACGCGGCATTGCGAGGTCCAGTTCCGAAGTCAAACACGGGGTCACATTTCAAGTTGAAGATTGTCGCTTTGGCGGGCATGAAACCATAAACAGCACAGAACTCAGCAGAATTAGAACTCCAAACGACGTCGTAAATGGGGCCACTTTTTGCTAGAAAAAGAATATAAGACCCAGATTAGCAATAAAGAATTAAATGAGCCCTGGCCAGTTTGGCTCAGCGGTTAGAGCGTCAGCCTGCGGTCCGGAGAGACACGGGTTCGGTTCCCGCTAAGGGCACGTACTTCGGTTGCAGTTTGTCCCCGGCCCTGGTTGGTCGTGCGGGTGGCAGCCACTCGATGTGTCCCTTCACGTCGATGTTTCTCCCTCTCTTCCTCTCTCTCCCTCCCACTCTATCTGTACAAAAAATGGAAAAATGTCCTCGGTTGAGGATTAAAAAAAAAACAAAGAATTAAATGAATATGGTATTTATTAGCACAAATTATAGTCACGTAACACTCAAACATTTATGTAATCCCTAATAAATCTTAATTTCTTTTTTGTGTTGGCAATGTGGGTTCATAGTAGCATAAGTTATTACGACTGGTTATGAACAACTAGTTTCTGTTGTACTAGGTAGTAGTATATACACATAGTAATAAAATATAAACTATATAAAAAGACATGCCACAAAAATAAGTCCCTCTAGACCAGTGGCTCTCACCCTTCCTAATGCCGACCCTTTAATACAGCTCCTCCTGTCGTCTGTGGGAGCATCTGCGTGTGGGCGGGCCGCCTGGAGACGGACAGAGGAGCCCTGTCTCGGTTCCTAAGACCATCGGAAATGTGTGTTTTCTGATGGTCTTAGGTGACCCCTGTGAAAGGGTCATTTGACCCCCAAAGGGGTCAAGACCCACAGGTTGAGAACTGTTGCTCTACACAGACACAACCCTCTAGTGTATTTCTTTTCTTTCTTTCTTCTTCCTTTTTTTTCCCTTTGGTCAATCCTCACTGAGGAAAGTTTTTCCATTGATTTTTATAAAGAAAGGGGGGAAAAGGGGAGATAGAAACATCTACTGGTTGCCTCCCAAATACACCCTGACCAGGACCAGTGATCAAAACTGCAACCCAGGCACGTGCCCTTGACTGGAAATCGAACTCGAGACCTGGTGTGTGGGCCGAGGCTCTGACCACTGGGCAACACCGCCAGGGCCTCTCTGGTGTGCTTCTTGCATATGCGTGCAGAATATCTTTGTCGACATTAAGCCCCTCTCTCAAACACAGACAAAAGCCCCGCGCTCTGAGCCTGTGCCGCTCCATTCCAGCTCTGTCTTGGTGACCCCCCCCACCCCCCACCGGGCGCGTCAGGGTCGGTCTCGTCCCCTCTCCACTGGCCCCCTCTCCACTGGCCCCGCGCTCTGAGCCTGTGCCGCTCCATTCCAGCTCTGTCTTGGAGACCCCCCTGGGCGCGTCAGGGTCTGTCTCGTCCCCTCTCCGCTGGCCCTGCTCTCTGAGCCTGTGCCGCTCCATTCTAGCTCTGTCTTGGAGACCCCCCCGGGTGCGTCAGGGTCGGCCTCGTGGGCTCTCCGCTGGCCCTGCTCTCTGAGCCTGTGCCGCTCCATTGCAGCTCTGTCTTGGAGATCCCCCCGGGTGCGTCAGGGTCGGCCTCGTCGGCTCTCCGCGGGCTCTGCTCTCTGCAGGCCTTGCTGCACGGCCTCCACTGCGCATCCAGACCCATCTGCAGGCGTGCAGCTGCCCCGTCGAGGGGCGCCTGCCACCGCGCGATGGCACACCACCACGCCGCCCTTCACAGACGCTGCACGATCGTACGTCCACAGGCTTGGACAGCACAGCCCCTCACTCGTGCTGAGTCGTTCCGTACCTTTACCTTTGCCAGCCTACTAGGTGACAGCTGTAGTTTGTTTTCCTTTCTATTTATTTCATTATAAACAAAGCACCTTTTACATACATTTATACATACTTCATTTCGTTTCTGCGGCCTCGTCTTTACTGTCCCAAACCTAGTCTTCTCTTTAGTTGTTGGTCTTTTACTGCTCTATTTGATAATATTAACAAATTCACCTTTCTCATGCGCATCCTTTGCCTGTCTAAGAAACTTCCCCCAATTTTTGTTGTTTGTTTTGCTTACTTAATTTATGATCTCTTCTCTTCCCCTAATGTATAAATCCACACTTTTTATATATTTAAATGTACCCCTTGTCCCTCATGACTTCTGCCTTTAGTCTTTTTCTATTTTAAACCAGAAGAAAAAAATCTCAAATATCTACTTCTAGCTCTGTAGCTTTAGCACAACTGGATTTTATTTTGGTAGATTTTATTATTAACGTTTTGTTCCAAATAGCTAGACAGGTGCCTCCATACCATGTATTTAAAATCAGTATTTTCCACCAGATTCCAAGCTGACCTTCCTCCGCTGCAGCAGCCGTGGACGTGTGGGTCTTTCTGGCCCAGTCCTGCTTCGCGGACGTGACTGTCCACCCACCAGCCAGAGCCAGCGTCTTAACGACAACTGTCTCACGTTTCAAGACCTAGCACTGCAAGAAGCCCCGCCTGTTCTTCTTTTGCAGTTTTCAAAACATTCTAGCATGTTTACCTTTCAATATTAACTTTAGGATCAGCTCACCTAGTTAAACCTATTGGCATTTTAATTTCATTTAAAAATATTTACTTTATTAATTTTTTTGAGAGAGAGAGGGAAAGAGAGAAACATCAAGCAAGAGAGAAACATTGATCGCCTGCCTCCTGCACGCCCCCCACTGGGGATCAAGCCCGCAACCCGGGCACGTGCCCTGAGCGGAATGGAACGGGACCTCTCTGTACATGGGATGATGCTGAATCCACTCAGCCACACCAGCCGGGCTTAATTTCACTTTTAGATCAATCTGGAGAGAATGACATCTCCATAAAATTCGTATTAAAGGCCACAGTTTGTTGCTCCTCAGAAGTTTCTTCCCATCAGACCTACACGATTTGTTTTTGTTGCTCTATATGCAATCTTCCCTTCCATCGTGTGAGTGGCTGCTGTTCACACCAACGTCACCGATGAGCAGGGATGACTGTTCCTTCCTTGTGACACTGCATGCTTGGTCTCTGACCAGCTACCCTGACAGCCTCTCAGAGTGGGAGCTAGGAGTGGAAGGGGAGGCACCCTAGTTTTGTTTCTGACTTCAATAGAACACATAGCTTTTTCACACGTTCAACTCAAAATGAAAAAATTTGGAGCCGTCAGAATTTTAAAACTGTATCATTCTACAATGAATTCTGCTCAGCAAAACAAAGGATGGAGTGCTAACATTCTTTGGTCCTGAAGACAGTGCTGACTCACTAGATCTCGATCACTGTCCTGATAAGTCCATCAGCCACAAAGAGCTACAGCCACTGAAATGCTTCCCTCAGCAAGTTTCCTACCAAACTACGACTCAAGCAGCGAGCTGGGTTCTGGCAAAACCAGTCTTGTGGAGAAGACGCTAAGTCTCCTCATCAAGCAGCTTCCTCTCCCAGGCTAGAGCATGTGAGTCTCACACCGGGTCAAGGATGCAGACTGTGTCCCCTTCTCACTGTCCCGCTGCATCAAAGGGGGGTACTCACGCAGCTGCACCGCGGCGCTCTCCCCGTTGGCCGCGATGTAGTGCAGCGTCTGCTCCCCGTAGTAGGACGCCCCCGTCTTATCCACATCTGTACTGGCTATGACCAACACAGCAGAAGCTGCAACAGTAGATGCTTTAATTAGATGTAAAACACAAATAAACCCAATGGTGATGAAAAACATTAAACAATGTAACAGAGCCACGCAATTTTTCATTGAATAAGCATTGATGCTTTGCCCCCTTTATGCATAGGAATGACATCTAAGTCAATGTTCGGTAAACAAAATGAGAGAAAATATATTTATCATACCCTTTTTATTCCACAGCATTGTAACCTTATCCGCCTTAAAGAAACTTTTATTGGCTAACGCTGCATGAGGTCCATCAAAGTTGGGGTACTGATACAGTCGAACAAATGAAGGTGCACCCTTACTTCCTGGAACATAAACAGCCACCTAACATACACAGACATGAATCATTTAATTTTTTGAAGCATATAAACTAAGATACACATCACTAAATACTAATAAAAAGGTTAATAACCCCACATGAACAAACAAAAACATAGCCGTTACCTTGTATGGCTGAGGTCCAGGAGATAACACAAAATCACTAATTTTTTGCAAATGCAATTTATTTACAATTGTATCTAAAAAAAAAGAGAGAGAGAGAAATGGTATTAGACTGATGAAAGATGCTAACAGTGGTGTTAAACTCTGACTGTATTTAAAAGGTCAGTGTAAATACACACTAGTACTGCTCACTGTAGCCCGAGAGGGTGAGGCTGAGCAGGAAACGCATGGGGGGACAGACAGACTTCCACTTGACTCCTGTTCAGTCACTTACTGCTGTGTGAGCTTGGGCAAGTAATGAGATCATCCACCTCATTCCCAGTGATTACTTTTTAAGAGCCCAGTGTCAGGCACACAGTACTTATTCAATACATGTCGGTTCTCTTTTCTTCCTTTTTTTTTTTATCCTCACCCGAGGACATTTTTGCACTTATCTTCAGATAGAGGGAGAAGGAGAGAGGGAGGAAGAGAGAGAAACATCGATGTGAGAGAGACACATGGACCAGCTGCCACCCACACGACCCCAACTGGGGCCGGGGACAAACTGCCACCGAGGTTCGTGCCCTCAGTGGGGACCAAACCCGGGTCTCTCTGGACCGCAGGCCGACGCTCTAATGCTGAGTCAAACCAGCCAGGGCTGTTCTCTCTTCTTCAACCTCTGAAATCAAGTAGTTTCAGAGGCCATTAGATGGGAAAGATGATTTAGCCTAATATAAAATGTGGATATAGATATTCTGTAACTAATCACAGGGCAATAATGATCACAACAACAGTAACACTGGCTGATATTTATTGAGTACTAACTCAGTGCCAGGCAATCAGAACCCACATTATAAACAATACTACTTCCCTAGTTAATGGGATCAAGAGATGCCACCCTTCCTTTGTTAAAATTCAGAGATCAACAGCTGTTCACAAGTAGGACGTGCACCAAACTGCCCAACGGGCGGCCCCTTCTTCTGACGTGCTCACAAAGAAGCAAGATAAGCCAGCAAGCAAACTCAAAACCAGTGGGGCTGGAATGAGCCTCAAAGCAAGAAAAAGTATGCAGCTGTAACGATTAGTGAACAGTGCTCAGAATCAGCCTGCTTTCCACCTCTGGTTCATGTTACCCGAGTTACAAATTCCTATTCTACTTTAATATACTCAAATGTGTACCGTCACTAATGGGATACGCTAAGGACAAAAGAAACTGCAAAACTCTTTCTTTACATTATTTTCAGTAATCGTGTTATTGGTATTGCTGTTAGTATTGCTATTCTAAGAACACTATGTGGTTAATGTGAAACAAAGCAAGTAATTAGGTGAATGTGATATTCTCAAACGACCATCCCCAGTATCCCAGGGAACCAGGATTCCTGGCGTTGGCAAAGGCAGTGCAGATATAAGATATAAAAAAAGAAAAGAAAAGAAAAAGTCCTAGAAAGAATGATTAACACAGTGGCAATAAGAACCCCCTATACCCAGACTGTGTTCTCTAAATACCATTTTCCACTAAAAGGAATCAGAGTATCTCGAGGAACTGACTGATTCTAGGTATATAGCAGGAAATAACATACAAGATAGTCTTAGGACAGCCTGCCTCACCATATAGCAAAAAGTCATTAAAGACAAACTGACGGGATGGGATAGTTTAAGCATCAAAGAATAATTGCAATGGACTGAAACATGTCATACATGTTTAAATCCATAGCCCATAAAGATGGGGGTGGCGCCCTGGCCGGTTTGGCTCAGCGGTTAGAGCGTCGGCCTGCGGTCCCGAGAGACCCGGGTTCGGTTCCCACTAAGGGCTGTACCTTGGTTGCAGTTTGTCCCCGGCCCTGGTTGGTCGTGCAGGTGGCAGCCACTCAATGTGTCCCTTTCACATCGATGTTTCTCTCTCTCTCTCTCCCTCCTACTCTATCTGAACAAAAAAAAAATGTCCTCGGGTGAGGATAAAAAAATAAAAAAAAGATGGGGGTGGGGAGACTAATTGGTTGCAATGAAGATTGCTAGAGAAAGAACTCATTATTTTGTAAGTGATAAAAGGAAAGAATATTTATCCTGCCTTTCCTATATATATGGTACTGCTAGGTAACCAAATAGTAGAAGAGAAAATTGCTCTTTGTAGCTAATAAATGAGAGGGGAAGAGGATAATCAGACAATCACCAATTTGTAACCACTCATCAAATAGTGGCCTAGGCACTGAACGTCAATGTCAGCTAACCCTACAAAATTAGACAGTAAGACAGATGTGCTTCTTGATAAAATAATTCAGTACTGCCTTACGATGCAGTCTTATCTCCCTCAGAAAAGAAGCTGAAGCTGACGCTGACCAACTCTAGATCCAGACCAGTTACTTATAGGGGACAGATGAACGTGTTAAATTACAGGATGGGATACAATTCAAACTACGGGAAAATATACAGGACAAGTAACCTTGTTTAAGTAATAAATTACAAGAGGGAAAAGAGATGGAGAGGGAACTTGTAGCTTAAAAGCAACTTAAAAGATCTATCAGTCAATTGCAATGTGAGAAACCTTATTTGGATCATGAGTTTTAAAATATCTGTAACATTTACGACTATTAGAAACTTAACATTGAACATATTTTATAATCTGTGATAATGGTCTTTTGGCTAAGTTTAAAAAAATTAAGACTCCTACTCTTCCGAGATGCACACTGAAATATTTACAGGTAAACTGTACGAGCTCTAGGATTTGCTGTAGCCGAGTAAGAGACGGAAGATGGACAGGCATGGACGATGTAGGACTGGCAATGACTTGACGGGTATTGGGAGCAGGCGTCTAATTTTGTGTTTAAAATTCTACACAATAAAACATGCACATGCATCACAGAATTTCAATTGCAAATAAAGAGACATTTAAATGTCTTAGTTTAATAGAAATTTAAGTAATAAAAAGTTACTATAAAAGAAAATTTTGTGCTATAAAATTCTACTAGCATTTATATTTGTTATTCAAATAAATTAATACAACAGTAATTACTAATATATGCTTTATGTTTATAGAGTATATATAAATATACAGCAATGTATTCATAGTAATATATTAACAGTACTGTGGGGACTATCATACCATATAAGGCAATAAAAACTATATACATTTATAGTAAATAACAAAATTATAAATTTTTCCATACTGAAATTGTTATTTTCAAAGAAATGAACTTCATTGTTAACATTTCGGGCACAAATAGCTTCATCTTCTGACCAGGACGGACACCTACATTGAAAAGAAAGAACATAAAAAAGTTTAAACAGAGCGTGACATCACATGTTAACATGTTCAATGGTCTTTTGATAATGGTCTTTTGGCTAAGTTTAAAAAAAATTAAGAGTCCTAATCTTCTGAGATATTCAAGTGTGTGATGTTGCTTACTCTTTAAGAAAAAAATACTTACAATATGATGTTAAGTCAGTTAGTAATAGTTTTAGTCAACATATATAATAGAAAAAACATTAAACAAAAGAATGATCAAGAGTATTACATCCCTACATAAAAAAATCCTTAAAGATCTAGACTTTGGTCTGATAAATTATTTTCTAAACAAATTCCAAAGAAACAAATATTATACAATGAAGACATTTTAAATATTCTGTAAACAGTAAGTATCTGAAAGTAGTTACTTACCAATTTTGCATCTTTTTCTGGATGAAAGACTTCAAACACGTCCCAGTTTTCACATCGTAAAGTTGTAGGTTGGAAACTCCAGCGGCGCCATCTTTCGAAGCTGCAATAAACACACGTGTTAACAGTAACTGTCTCCTGGCACTAGGAAGAAAGAAGCCGTTCTTGGGAACCCACCAGGCTGACAGGTCCAGGGGGAGCTGCTCTACACCGCCTCCCTGCCACCCTCGCCGTGGTCCCCTCATCCACTCCTGCGGTCACGGTGACCGGAGCTAGCTGAGCAAAGGTCAGCATTTCCGAAATGAGTTCATAACTGTGGACTTTAAGAATACTTAAGAGATGTCCTGTTTTTCAAGGTTTACATGGTTTGCTGCTGAGTGGATTAAACTATTTTATTATGAAAGCCTGTATCTATCTGTAAGTCACACAAACAGGGTTATAAAACCACTCATGATTCTCAATTTCCCTTTTATTTTACTTGGAAAAAGAAAATTCTTAGAGTCTACACTTCTTGGAAGAACAAACCCAGAAGGTTTACAATCCAACAAGGAACTAAATATTTTACTTAACAATATCCATGTAATTGGAACACATTTCTTTTTTTAAATTGATAACTTTAATTGAATACTCGTGTGCCAGACACCGAGTGAGGTACTCTGCTCTCATCATCCTACCGGATCGATGCACAATGTGTATTTGGATCTAGAACCTGTTTCTTAAAATAAGCACTGATACCAATTCCTGGTATTTTATTAGTCACCTATGAAGCACAGCTCTATAAAATGCTCATGAAACATATTATTAAATCTCTGAAAGTGTTAGACAATGGCACACCATTTCCTCTTCTTTTCAACTATACACAGTTCTTAGATGCTGAGTCTACTGTACTTCCTCTTTCATTTACAATGATTATTTAAAATGTTTATTTTATTTTAAAGGTTATTATCATTCTTAATTTTTTTATTTTTTTGGTATGTGCCCCTAGCGGGAACCGAACCCAGGACTCTCTGGTCTACAGGCCGACACTCCAACCGCTGAGCCAAACCAGCCAGGGCTCATTCTTAATTTTTGAGATCTTTTCTATCCAGTGGTTATTTACTTTCTAAATTCCCCCTCAGCTTTTCCTTTTGCTCTATCTCATGATGAATCTTTCCACTAAATTACTATACCTTGAAATTACTTCAAGTACATTATATTTGGGGAATATGAGATTCATTGTTGATTAAAAATATCTGCACACAATTTACTATCATAAAGACTAATTACTTTTCTAGGGCTGTAAGCCCCTTCCCCCACGCACCGGCGCGGATGCTAGGGCTCCACGAGGAAGTACTCACTCGTGTAGGGCTGCCACGTAGCCAGGACGGTGCTCCTCGGCGAGAATTCAAGGCAAACTGCCTTTGGGAGGTCGAAGGAGTGCAGGAGGCTCTCGTTAGTGACACTGATAATATTTACTCTGGTTTCAAAAGAAATTACTTCAGCAATGAAATACTGTTTCACAACAGCCAGCACTATAAAAACATTCATACCTCTTTTCAAGTGCAGATCACACTTTAAGTGACTATTTTTCATAAAATCAATTTTCGGTTAGTTCTAAGAAATATCCAACAAACACCTGAACTGGAAAAAGCAACTTTATCAAAAGGCACCGATAAGGCTGGTGCTGAGAACGTGGGAATTAGCAGGAGGCCACGACAGACAGCCCACCTCCAGCTGGGCAGGACGCAGCGGCCTTAGGTGAGCAGAGCTGACCCAGAGACAGGCCGAGATGGGGCGAACTGAAGAGAAAAGGGGTGCTAAAACAGGAGTGCATTGCATTGCATTTCTAATTTTTATCTTTGGCTTAACTAACAGGCAGCATCTGCTAAGGTTCTGGAGGCACCGGCACCCAGGGTCAGGGCGCTGCTGACCTGGCTCCCGGCGAGGGCCCCCTGGCTGAGAAAGCTGCCTTCTCTCTGAGTTCTCACGTTGCACAGAAAAAGCGCATTCTGACATTTCAGTATCAGCGGAGGAAATCAGCAAACAGACGTTTGATGTCGATCAAAATCTCAGAAGCGGTCTCCAAGGACAGACTAAGATCTACTGTGGTATGAGAATGACAGAGATTACAGTAATTGTAGAAAAACAGCAGTTTCCAGGCTTTTGGATACTTTCTGTGCACCACGTTCTGGTCTAACTGCTTTATGTACGTTTTTCTCAGGTAATCCTCACAACAATCTTAGAAGATAGGTATTATCATCTCAGTTTTACAAATGGCAAAACTGAGACTCAGAAAAATCAGACGACTTGACGACTTGCCCGAGCTCATACTACGGATGAATGCCAGAGCCAACCTTTAAAACCAGCCTGGTGACTTGCTGTTGTGTCCTCTTTCGGTTTAAAAAAAAAAAAAGGATAATCCATCTTATGCCAGGAATTGCTTCAAGTTGCTTTGTCCTGCTCAGGTGTGAGAACGCCGGGTTAGTCTGGGCAGAAGCGGGTGGGAACACAAGATCACAGCATGTCGTTTTACCACAGACACAAACACTTTACGACTTACTGGAAATGACACAGTTTAGAATTACACGAAGCTTACTTATTGTAGTTTATGACCTTTAACAGTTACTCTTAGTTTAATGACGTGTTTAATTCTTTTTTAAAAATCACATATATAAAAAAAAAATCAGTTACGGTTTCTGATTGACTGACCAGGAGCTCAGCAGAGGCCACATACTCTGCCTTTTTCTCTTGCCCCAGGGACATTATGTGTCTTTGTGGCCACAGCCACTCTAAGAAAATAAATGCTAGAACCAGGTACAGAAAATATCTATTGAAAAGATGAACACAACATATGGGGGCATATGAAAAAGATTCAGAGTTGAATCCAATAGAAAGCCAAGTGGAGATATGAAGTATAGAAAATAATTGTAGTAACTGCCAAGGTAAAAACAGATTTACTCAAAAAACTCTAAGCTAGTAGAACCAGATTACTACAAAAAGATAATAAACCATGAAAAGTATGGTGTCCCATTAGACAGTAAATTTCTATTAACTCATTACTCAAATAGTATAAATTAAAATATGGACTTAAAAAAATAAAAGCCAAATACCCACAACAGGTTCACCAAAAAGTAAATAAATAAAATAAATAGTAAGAAAATTTGAGAGTACATCCCTTCATTGAGGCTGAGATTAAGACTGTCTGTCAACATTGTGGATAAGACTGAACATGATTATATACTTAATAATTTGAGAGCAGTAGTTTATTGGTTGGGTTTAATAACTTAAAAAACTGATTAATATTTTTATTTATAAAAGCTAACTCTGCCAGCTTATACAAAATGAATCAACTAATTCAACACAACCATTTTCGCATTAACTTTTAAAATCATGCGCTGATCCGCCCTGACCTGACAGTTGAAAGCCTTCACAATACATTGCCACTGTGTAAAAATCATTTAAAATGCACGTTTGAAACGAATGGATATCTTTTCCCCCTTTAAAAAAGCCTAAGATATCATATCTGGTTAGAAACAACAAAAATAACTTTAAACCAAGCAACATATTTGGGCATATTCCTGTTTTTGTGAACTGAAATGTTATACTGACTATGGAAAAATTAAAAAGGTCCAATTTTCTTGATAAAATATGAGCATTTAATCAAAATGCTTTTTTTTTTTGCAAGGCCAATTTTATAATCTGGTTATTTTATGGAATGTAGACTACACTAAACATACTTTTGATTATTTTATGTACATTAATATAGAGTAGACTAAACATACTTTTGAGTAACTTATAGTTAGGTGATATACTTTTATATACAAAAATACTAATAGCAATAGCTGGAGACAATGTTACTAATTTAATAGCAAAGATATAAAGTATCTAAATCTAAGGTAAACAAAAATTATTCTTTAAGTGTTAGTGCAGAACTTAGGGACTCCTAACCAATAACCTAGAGCACTATTTAAAACAACCTCTCAGGTTATTCAGCATTAAATTAATTGCCCTTTTTCATATGTTACTTCTAAATTCTAAGTAACTAGATAACTCAAATGAATCATGGCACATAAATAGAAACTAACAACTGGAAGGTATTCCGTGGAAGTTACGTTGGAGATAATACTTAACTGCATCATGACATCAAAAGATGGACTTTATTAATGACACCCAAATACATATTACTCAAATAATACCAGTTATGTTTTACATGCATGACACACACATAAAATATTACATAAATGAACACTAACTTCTCTCCGTTGCCCCAGGCAAACAAGGTCCCATCCTTACTAAAGGTATAGACTTTGCAATTTTTCCCAGAGTCCCTGAAAAGGACAATAAAAATGTTTAAGTTAATAAGCATTAATACTTTACAAGAAACTCACAATCTTACTACTAAATTAATAACTAAGAACTTACCTACATTTTAGCAAATAATTCCAAAATGCTTGTCTACCGAAATACTTTATCTCTTAAGATGCAGCGTCAGCAAACACAGTAAAATAAGCTGGAAACCGATTTTATACCAACAAGTCAATATTAAGGGTGGGGGGGCCCTTTTGGGTGAATATCTAGTTTGCGTGACAACCCAAAAATGGAAGCGAATGCGGAAGTGACCAGCTGTCCGCCTCGAAACTGAGAGGGCTGAAGGATTTCACAAGGGAGACTTTGTGAAGAACGCCCCAGCCCACTTACACAGAAAACAAAGGTGAACAGATTATCCGCAAGTGCCTTCCATCTGTCCTTTCTCGGGTGTAGAGACGGAAAGTATAACAAGAGGATCTTCACTGTAACTAAATACAGAAGCAGGATTCTGCATAAGCAGACCTGTGGAATAAGGCTTCTTGGCAATATTCTCGCACATGCTCAAGCTCGAAGCACTGCATCTCTCGACTGGAGACAGCCCCTCACATCTCCCAGTGACAGTGAGCCCGCACAGGAATGTGTGTGCTGATGTCTATGCTTAGTCCAGCATTGGACCAGAGCTTCGTGGCCAACAGATATTTGAATTATTAAACAGCAGTGCACTGAGAACTAACCAGTACACCCCTTTGAACTGGTTATTATCTTTGTATTAATTCATCTGCAGATGACATTTGTGTTTCTGCAATCACACAATAATGGTAGCTTATACTAAATTTGTGGTTAGAAAAATGTTATTTTTTGTCTCTTACAATAAACGGCTATGACCGAGATGTCCTCCATCTATATTGCAAAACTCACTTCTGAACCTTAAGGAAGAACTTTCAAATTATCATATTCAATCCCACTCAGGTGTGGGCCTCTTATTCCAGCCTACTGGGATCTATTTACATCTTGATTTTCTTTTTGAAGACATTAGCTGTTCCTTGTTGCTTTCCGGAACGTGTGGATCACAGGACACCGCCCTAAGCTACCATTCGCATCCAGGACTGGGAGTGCGGAGCGAGCGCTGAACAGCACCGTGCAGCCGGCACTGCCCGCACACTGGAGCCAGCTCATGGACGGCTCTGCCGTGACCCACCCACCCGAGACCTCGTCATTTCTCAGACACTTCGCCAAAATCATGTTCGTAGTTCTGTTCTGATGCGTCTGGAAATTCTACTCAGAAAGGTATCAGACAAGCTTAAAACAATTTATTCTTAGCAAGCTCATTTTGATTCTAATAATCAGCCCTTTGTATCATGATTATAAATTGTCTTTTTAATAACTTATTCTAGAATTGTGCTTAAGGCTGAAAGCAAGCTTCCTAGACTATAGCATCCAGAATTTAATTCTTTTCTCAAACTTGGCAACTGGGAAATTTTATCTATCTCCTTCTGATATAATTTTTAAATGAAAAATTTCAAATATATGCAAAAAAGAGAAAAAGTATGATAATCCACCCATGTACCTACCTATTACCAAGCTTAAATAATGATGAACTCATGGCCAATTTTGTTTAATTTACTCCCTACCTTTACATTTAATGCCAGAATATTTTACAGCAAACTCGATCTCATCATTTCACACTGCACTTTACTTTAGTACATAACTCTAACTGAAAAGGACCTTTGCTCAATCCTCACCCAAGGATACTTTTCCAGTGACTTTTAGATAGAGAGGAACGGAGGGAGGGAGGGAGAGAGAGCGGGAGGGAGGGAGGGAGGGAGGGCGGGAGGGAGGGGGAGTGGGAGAGAGGGGAAGAGAAAGAGGGAGAGAGAGACAGAGAAGCACTGATGTGAGAGACACGACTGGTTGCCTCCCACATGACCACAATAGGGATTGGGGACTGAACCTGCAACCCAGGTACGTGCCCTTGACCAGAAATCAAACCTGTGACTCTTTGGTCATCGGACCAACACTCTAACAGCTGAGCCAAACCAGCCAGGGCTGATGAAGGCATTTTTATTTGTTTTTGTTTTTGTTTTTATAAACATTGTTTAAAAAAATTTTTTTTAATTTTTTCTTTATTGATTGGAGAGAGAGAGAGGAAGAGAGAGAGAGAGAGAGCAACGACTGGCCGCCTCCTGCATGCCCCCCACTGGGGATCCGGCCCACAACCTGGGCATGTACCCTGACTGGGAATTGAACCAGTGACCTCTTGG